CCCGCCACTCTTGGTGCATGTGGCTGGCACCATAAGCACTGTGCTATGGGCACCAAGCCTAATGTCCTTTTTGATTTCCTCCTTGACCCATTGGTTTTTCAGGAGTGTATCAATTAATTTCCACATACTTGTGAATTTTCCGATTTTCCTCCTGTTTTTGATTCCTGGTTTTATATCATTGTGATCAGAATAGATACTTGATATAACTTCATTCTTCCTAAATTTGCTAACACTTACTTTGTGGCCTAACACATGACTTATCCTGGAGAAGGTTCTATGTGCACTGGAGGAAAATAAGTATCCGCTGCCATGGGTGGATCTGTGGGGTCCATCGGTTTACTCTGCTCTTCACTTCTGCTGTTTCCTCATTGATTTTCTGTCTGGATGACCCATGCATTGCTGAAAGTGGGATTCTGAAGTCTCCCACTATTAGTGCCTCGCTATCTATTTCTCCCATCAGTTCTGTCATTACTTTCACATTATATATTTAAGTGCTCCAGTGCTACCTGCACATACGTTTATAATCGTTGTCTCTTCTTGATGAACTGACCCTTTCATTGTCATGCAATAACTTTATCTCTTGTTGTACTTTTTTACTTAAAAGTCTATTTCGTCTGATAGAGGCACAACTACCCTACTCTCCTTTGGTTTCTATCTACAAGGAATATTTTTGTCCATTTCTTCATTTTCAGCCTATGTGTGTCCTTAAAGTCAGAGACCTACCAAGATTGTGACACAGACACCTGATGCAGCTGCCATCTCTCACTTCCCACCCCATCACCATCACAAATGTGAGCGTTCATCCCACAAACAGGACTGCACGCATCCTGGCTGCAAGACAGCATGCCTCTTGCCTGGCCCGTGAGGTCTTCATGGACCCCAGGTTCTGGCCTCAGGTCCCGCTACTTCCACCACAGTAATGCTGAATTTCATTTGAGACATAGCACAGAGTTTCCATCACACCATGCTTGTTCAGGCCTCACAACTATCACAGTCACAGTCACTGCCCACATTTAATTCTCTCTGTATACCAAGTACTATGTCAAGCACCTTATGCATGTTATGACTCTTAGAAATATTATTATTTCCAACTTTCCAGATGAGAAACACACATCAGGAAGTTAAGAATGTACATGAGGCAGCAAAGATACTGATGGCAGGGAGGAGACCTGGCTGCAGGTCTGGCCCCACAGCCCAGGCTGGCAGCTCCTCCCTGTGCTGCCCCTTCACACATGCTCTGTGGCCCCACAGAAACCACTGCCCCCACATCTGTCAAGTCTTAACTCACACCAGGGCTCCCCTGGTCCTGGCTTCTCCAGACCAATGAGAGGCCTTCCTTGGAACAACAGCAGCATCTTCTTACACTTCAATTGCTGGCCTGCCGTCAGGGACCCAAACAGCAGGGCTGGTGCTTAAGAGGCTGCATTACATTCCTGACATGTAGCACATGGTACATGCTTAATGGTTTGTTTGAATGAACAAATGAATGAAACTGGTTAAAAATAAATATGGCACCGAGACTGAGAAAATACCCTCTGCTTTGAAAAATTAAAATTAGAGTTTATGATGAATCATTTCATGCCTGCTAGTTCAGGCAGAAAATTCTCCTAGAAAAGTACAAAAGCTGCTGCTGCTACTGCTGTCCCCACCCCCAACTCCCGACAGGGGCATCTCCTTACTTCCGAACGCCTCCTAGGGGGAAGACCTTTTCTCCAATCATGGCCAGCACGACATTCCAATCTGATAGACTGAATTTGGGTATAATAACTTTAACAGGTGGAATAAATAATCTTCCATTTGTAAAAACACTGTAAGAATAAAAAGAAAAACATTCATTAATATCTTGAATCTGAAGGAAAAACACTGAAAATTCAAAGGAAAAGTATACGTGGTATATACTCAAAGAACTGTGAAAACAGCATGATGTGCTGAGCAGACCCTGGGAACACATACCGTGCCCCGGAGAGGACTGCCAGCAAGCCACACAGACTATCTTAGTGCCTGGTAACACAATAATATAAAAAATATATCGTTTTATAAAATCTAAAATGCCCTGACAAATAGGACAGAACTCTGCTTTTTAAAAACACACCTCTAACTTCTATGATGGGTAAAATGGAAGAAAATTATATTCCTTTGGAAAACAAGGGGGGAAATTTCGCCTTCAAGAGTAAAGCTATTTTCCTTTTCTGCGGACAAGATTGTCTCCCCTGCCCCCAAATATCATGCAATCCTTTGAAAAGATAATAGAAACAATTTATTTCATTCCTGCCATTTAAAATCAGGTTCAGTGTAACCCTGAGGGGGTATTATTTTATTATTTCTGTATGTTGGAAGAAGGACATGTTCATAGATTGTCAAAACCCGAGGCAAAGTCATTACTTCCCCAGTGTTATTCAGACCACACCACAATCAAAGACACGTGGCCATAGTTTTGAACACCTGTGACTCATATTAAAGTAACATAAAACGCAGGGCTTATTTTCTAAGTCTAAAAGTAATGAATGATGTTATTGATATCTTTTAATAATAAATAAGCTCAACCTTACAATTCTGCTTTTTATCTTTTTACAGTATTGTCTATTATTAGTATAATTCTGTTGTCTTTTTCCTTAAATGTGAATAACTTACAATTTTAGACATACATCTTTTTTCAGAGTAAAGTTTCATTTAATATATTTGTCACAATAAAGAGAATTCAAGCTCTTTTTTGCTAAAGTTGTGTGGCAAAAAAAAGCTTCCAATCAACTCCGGTGTCTAATTTCATCCATGTTTAAGAGACTACCCAAATTATCTGCAAGTTTTATCACAATTCATCAGCATGCTATTATAACTACAATAAAATCTGCTACAACGTCTTGAGTTATTGATATTCCCAATTGGTTTATGCCATAAGTCTTTCTAAATCTAGGTTATTAATAGTAATAAAAGAAATAAATGTTTAAATAAGGTCATGTTTTATCTTTGTCTAAAGTTTTAAGAAATTTAGTTTATATTAAATGTTGAGAAATAGGCACATTGACAGGCTATTGATATAGTTAAAAATAATCATGATCTTCCTGAAGGGCACTTCCACATTATGGATGAATAAGAAGTACGGGATCAATAACCACTGTCCCTGTCATTCCACCCCACGAAATCCTTCCCACACAAATGTGCACAAAGATTTATATATAAAGATATTTCTCACAGAATTCTTTATGAAACAAAAAATATAAAATGTCTTAAGTATGGACAGATAGTTCAATAAATTATGACATGGTCATGCAATAAAAAATTATGCAGCTGCAGAAAAGCATTTACAGGGAGGAAATGGTCAGATTCAGTGAATGTTCTAAATAAAAAACACAATAGCAGGGTTCAGAGACAGAACTACACGTAAATGTGCCTCAAAGTTAACAGTGGTCATCTCCAAGGGATGGGATTACTGGTAATTTGTCCTTTATTCTTTTTGCTTTTCTAGATTTCCACATTTTTATAAGTATGTAAAAAGAGCAGAAAACTATCTGTGCAGCTTCAGTATTTTTTAAGATAAAGAAACAAATGTAGTCTCCAATTTGTAAATGAGGAAATTTCAAGTTCAGAGAGAGAAAAGGACTCAACACATCTCCAAACATTTGCCAGAACTGAAGAGTGAGCCTAGACCTCTGTTGCTGTGCTAGACTGGAGACCCGTCCTGTTCAGGGGTCTGATGCACCATCTCCCAGGTAGCTGAATGAACAACCCCACCCCTAACACCCAAAGACAGTTTCCCCGGAAGCCTGGAATGGAGAGAAGATGGATGGGCACACATCAAATCCCATTCCGTTAAACAACCCCAGCCATGTGAACTCTGGCACACTATGTCAGCATTTCTCCATATATTTATATACAGATAAATATGTATATTTATCTATATATTCTGGAAAGGAACCACACTCAAGGCAAGTTGCGCAGTGAGGGGGAAAGGAGCACAGCAGTGCGTGTGGCAGGCGCACGTGGCCAGCCCTGGACATTCCACACCTGTGCCCATGGTGCCCCACAGGACTTGGGGTGTAGAAGGCTGGCTTTTACTTGATGCCTTTTAAACTGTGTCTTTGCCCCAGGCATCAGTTACTCTGGCTATTTAAAAAGCAGTTAATTTAAAAACTCTGAAGTAAGAGAAATTAAAGGCATAAAACTATTTTGCCAATGCACCTCCTAATGTGCTGCTAATTAATTTTTAAAAGAAAATGGAGAAAGGTGACATTCTTTTAAATAGAAAATATGTTAGATTTTTTAAAATGGGAACTAGCTTATGGGTCTAGGAATGGATTTTCACCAGGTGGGCTGATGACGACAGCTGCCATTGACTCAACACTGGCCACGCACCCTCATACGATCATCTCTAATCTTCCCAACAAGTCAGTAAAGAGAGCACCACTGCCCTACCACATAGAAGAAACTGAGGTTCAGAGAGGGCAAGAGGCTTCCCCAAGTCACACAGGGCCACACGGAAGGCCAACCACCCAACCCAAGTCCACCTGACTCCCGCCTGCGCCCTTCCCACAGCATCATCCTCCCTCTCACCTTTTTCTCTTCTCTGTTGAAAACCAGGTAGAAAATGTCAAAATGTGCTGTTCCTGTCTCAGAAACATGTTGACAATGGGAAGCAAGAGGAAAGCAGGATGGTTTTTATTCCTGTTGCCAGCACTATCCTCAGACAGTTGGGGTCCACTGCGTCAGGTAACAGATGAGCCGTGAGCCTAACGTGACGTTCTGGGCTGGCCGCCTGCACCTCTCATGCTGGGGTGCACTCCCCTAACACTCGCTCCCAAGAACCAGTTCAAGTTCCAAGTTGAACTAAACTTCTCCACACTTGAAGACAGAAGCCAAGGTCTCTAGAGCTGATTCTAGAAGGAAATATTAATATCTCTGTGTCTGGACAACTTGTTCCCTCCCTGAACTGTGAGCTCTTTGAGGACATGCCCACAGCTGAATTTCACACCAATCTCTGGCACCAGGTGTGGGTGGTTTAGATGGAGCCACGAGTGACCAAGTGAACAGACCAGCGGTTCTCAACCTGTGGGTCGTGACCCCTTTGTAACAATGAAAAAACATCCTGCATATCAGATATTTACATTACGATTCATAACAGTAGCAAATTACAGTTATGAGGTAGTAACGAAAATAATTTTATGTTTGGGAGTCACCACAACACGAGGAACTGTACGAAGGGTCGAAGGGTCGCAGCAGTAGGAAGGGTGAGAATCACTGGGATAGATGAAAAGCCTTCCCCTCTGCCGCCAGTGTCCCCGTCTCCACAACTAGAACAGGAACACCCATCATCTCTGCCCCACAGGGCAAAAGGAAGGCAAAATGAGGCTATGGGCATTTTAATTTGAAATGGGCAATGAGAGGAATTATTTTTTAAAACTGAGGTGCCATAACTGTTACTCCTGTGTTTTTCTAATCTAAGATTCTGAGCCCACACAGAAGTGATTTAAATAGCAGTTCATCCAACCCTAAACTCACTCCCTGACAACTGCAGAGCTCTCGGTACCTGACATCATCATCCATTTGGAGCATAAACAACACAGGTGTGTGGTACTGCCATTAAATACTCAGAAAAGTACCCTGAGACGCTCACCCACAGCCAGCTCCACAGCCATGGACCCTGTCAGGCACTGTAAGAAGAGAGGACACGGAGCTCAAAGGAAGGGAAAAGTGAGCCTCTCCTCCTCGAAAGTTGCCCACTGTACCCCGAGGAACTGAACCACCCACACCTGGGCAACCTCCCCAGGTGCCAGGGCAGCACGTTCCAACCTCACAACCTGCACCCTCCTTCCTGTGTCTTCCTTCCAGTTACCAGGGGTGGGCTTTGAGCACTTCCTGGTGACCTGCCTCTTTCCCAGCCTATAACATTCTTAGGAGCCCCCTTCACGTAGCTCAACTCCCTTCTCAATTCTGCCACCCTATAAACCTGCTAGGAAGGGATCTTCTCCTGAACTGGGGCATTAAAATTCCTTGTGCCTCAGGGGGCTCCTCCCACAGCCCCTGCTGCTTCCTCTGACTCCCCTGAGCTCCTCTACCCCCCTTGACCCAGCCTTCACGTAAGGAATAGCTTCAATCAGCCATTTGTTACACAGAATTCCTCCTTCTTGGGCAAGAGACCCCACCAGCACACAGGACGCAGAGTTCTCTAAGAGAAACAGACCATTCCATGTCCCCCAGGGTCATTCAAAGCCAGAGGGCAGCAGAAATCCAAGGCTTGTTAGACACACGTTTCTGATCCCCATTCCCAGCGCCTGCAACACTCCCACTGTGCCTGCTGAAAAGCCCAGAGAAGGGCAGCAGCTCGCCCCAGCCCTGAGCTCTACTGACAGAGCGCTCACACCTGGATTCCGCAGCGCGGCCCCTAAGCAGCTCTGTCCAGTCTGTGGCGCCTTCCTCGGCACAAGCTCCACCTTTTCTAGTTCTCCCCTTCACTAGTCACCCCCTGCCTGTCTGCCCCCCAGACTGCTGCACACACCTGAGGATTTGCTGAGGCCCCACCCACTTCCCATGTGGCCTCAATGCAGATTTGAGTGGCATAAAATTACCAGGAAATGCCACTTTCATCCAATCAGTGGACCCCTCAAGGCCCCTCAAGCCTGGGACTGCACTGTCACTCCCGAGCTTAAAGAACAGAATGCTCCATGGAGACCAGCTGGACACACACCAGAGTCCACTGTGGGACACACTACCCCCTGTGTCCCTGTGGCATGATGCTCTCCATTTCCATGAAGAATGAATTCCCTGTAAGGGGCCGACCCCCTCTAGGGACAGCACTGTCCCTCCACATCTCCATGATGTCACCATCAAGGGAAATCCTTCAGTGCAAGATCAATATATTTGGCGACCAAAGAAAAACAGACAAAGGAAACTCCTGATTAAATGGGACTAAACCCCTGTGGGTCAGAGGAGAACGTTTACAGCCCTCCCACCAGGACCCACACCCGGTTACTCTCCCGCTTCTGTCACACTCGTACAGGTGAGCTCCCTGAGGGACGTCAGGGACGTGATCTCGAGTGCAGTCAGAAAGCACAGGGGGGCAAGCAGGGCCCATGGGACCAGCTCCTGTCATGTGGCCTCTGCTGGTCCTCAAAGGGCTATAAATGATAAATTCAAAAAAAAAAAATCAGAAACAGGAGCTCTGTCACAGCCTCAATGTCATGAGACTCAAGAAGGACCCCTGGTTAGGTCAGAAGCAGCTGTAAACGGCTGCGGACTCGGCCAGCCTGGCAGTGTTCTGTGCTTCACGCGGCACCTCACCTGTGGTGGCAGGCGCACCCCAGCTTACAGATAGTGCCAGGCCGCCTAGACCTGGCGGACAAGCTGGAGTGTCAGAACTTTGCAAAATGACGTCCACGCAGACCAGCCTCAGACTAGTGGGGGAGGCCTCTGCACACATCCATCTCAGTGATGCCTAACGTTGATAGCACTCAGCAAAGGTCCAGGCCGGAGACAAAGCAGACATCGCTCCAGAAAGAGACTGGTCTGACTCTCCCTTCACACGGTCTCCTCCCCTTCCTGGAGTCCTTACTCCCACTGCCTTACTCCCACTCCTTACTCCCACTGCCTTACAGCTTGCTGATGGTCATGCTGCTGTCTCCCAGCACATCCCCACCCTGTGTGAAGGCTGTGCCCCGGACCGACCCTCACTCCTCACACAGCACAGCAGTTGGAAGCAATGGCTGGGCCCTTGTCAAGCCCCTCTCATGACAAATGACGGCTGTTACTCAAGAAAGAGGTTGGTCCTCTCTTCCTCTCGCACATCCCCTCTGGAAGACAGGCTGAGGCTCACAAAGCTCTCTGCTCGTAACAGTTCTGTCCACACCCTGCACCCGACGTGACACAGCATAAAGCCCTGTCCACAGGATGACCCAGCACCACCACCCCCCAAATGCCTGCCTGAGACAGCTCAGCTCTGCAGGAAACCCCTCTCTTCCTAACAGCACTTACAAATATGTCTCTTAGCACCCAGACCCTCCCTGGGAGTGTGGTGTCAGGAAGGACAGCGTCTCCGTCTCCTAGTCTCTGTGGGAGACAGAATCCCAATTTCCATGACTGACACTTGCTGACACACTGGTTGGGTCACACAAACTGACCACCTCTGTACGGCCCCACTTCTCATTCCACTGAGCACCTATGTCCTCCCCGCCCTCTCCCTCAAAAATGCCCAAATCTCTCTGCACACATCAGACTGGGCTCAGCTCCTTCCTGCTGCCGGCAGCTGCTGAGTCAATTCTGTGTTCCCCTCTGACACTGTGGTCTGGATGCATTCATCTCCCACAGCGTCCTCACGAGGAGGGGTTAGACCTGATGTCCCCGGGGCCACTCCTCCATATCCCAGAGACCACGGTCCACCTGCTATCAGCTAGGAAAGGACAGTGTACGAGGCCAGGTGGGGGTGCAGAGTCCCCACATAAAACCACTTCTAGGGCTTAAGCAACTGTGTCCAGCTCACTTTTAAATTAACATAAGTAAGACCCTTTAAACCAGTGGTTCTCAACCTTCCTAATGCCACAACCCTGTAATACACAGTTCCTATGGGTCATGACCCGCAGGTTGAGAACCACTGATTTAAACCCTCTTGTCCCAGGGCCCATTCATTGAGCCATTTTGTTTTCTATACCTTTCTAGAAAGAAGAATGGGTGGCCTCCTTGCAGCAGTGACAAGTGTCGGGGAGGATAAAGTGGACTGGTGACATTACCTGGGCTCACTCAGCTTAGTGACTCCCAGACCAGGACCCAAAGCTGGTCCTCAGCCTGCAAACTGGTGCACTCAAACCCAGACTTTCATGACCAGCTGAGCCCAATGGCGGCCCCATCAAGGGAGCATCAGCTTCTCCCCCCACATCCAGCTGCTCCCTCAGCCCAACTCGTCCCTTTCCAAGGAAGGGTCAACTCCCCCTGGAAGATCTCAGCGTCCAAAGGTGCACAGGACTGCTGCTGTATGCAGTGACAAGGACTGGAGGTTTTTTGCTCAGAGGAAAGCCCCTGTGTTTAGATGGATATTTGGGTCCATCTAGTGGAACTTCCAGCGCACCAGAACCAAGGGCCTGCACAGGCTGCCAGAGGACGTAGGCTCTGGCTGAGAACACCCACCAGAGAGGAGGGGCTGGGCACACCCTGACTCCAGCCGCAGAGTGCAGCTTCAGGAGCAGGCGTCTTTGTCAGGAATGACCCACAAACCAGAGATGTCCCCAGAGGGCCACATCTTCTGCAGAGGAAGACGACATCAACCAAATTTAGAGTAACTGTGTCTGGTTATTTCGAAGCAGCGCTCAGACTCAGACTCACAGACTCACAATGGCTCCCTCACAGCCCACGGTGTGTTCAAAGAAACGACGGCTGGCGGTCGAGGAAAAGTAAAAGAGGTGAGTTCAGCTAATTAACCCTGAGCTTTTCTTTATCTCTCTGTGTCCCAGGCTGGGGTCTGCTGTGTCCACCAGGGACTTTCCCACGTCGGGAGCCTCCATTCCATGACCTTGATATCAGGACTGAGATGGGGCAAACAAGACCCTGTCTCACAAAGGCTGGGACAAGACACCCATGCTGGTGTCCCAAGACACGAAGAGCCCGTGGGTTTCTGCAGAAACTCATAAAACTGCTCTCCATTTGGACCAGAGAATGGCAAAGGAAGGGTGCTGTCCTAGACTCCACATTAAAATATTAAAACATCACGATGAAAGAAGAATTTGGGGGGGAAACTGTTTAGACAACTGCTGCCCTATGACAAGCCTGGGTGGGGGAGGCTGGAACCCCCTCACTGCCAAGTCCGTCCTCACCACAGCTCCAAAGGTCCGTCTTACTGATAAGGACACAGGCAGTGCAGGCTGAGGCCACCACGAGCTGGGGAGATGCAAAGCCAGGATGTGAACCCAGGCTTGTTCTCCTTTCTGAGTACAGAGCCCTGGCCTCACATCTCACAGCAACCTCAAACTTTTGGGCTCAAGAGATTCTCCTGCCTCAGCCTCCAGAGTAGCTGGGACAGGCACCTGCCACTAGGCCCAGCTAGTTTTTCTATTTTTAGTAGAGATGGGGTCTCAATCTTGCTTATGCTGTTCTCAAACTCCTGAGTTCAAACAATCTTCTCATCTCAGACTGTCAGATTGCTGGGATTATAGGCAGGATCCACCATGCCCAGCCAGAACCAGTGCTTTGAGTCAAGCGTGCATTCTTCCCACAGCCCCAGCATCACCATGCTGAGTGTCCCATGCTGTGGTCTCAATTAACCTGAGCATAATCCCCCCAAGCACCTCTGTGCCCAGCACTGTCAATGGCACCCAGGGCTGTAGTGCATCTGGGCTCCAACACATTCTGTCCCGAAGGCAACATGCAGCCCGGATGTGCTCCACCTATAACTCAGTGGCCTTTTTGGAGTCAGAGCTCACAGTGAAAAAGCAACTTTTAAATTTCCTTCCAACGTGCAACAGCTGCAACTGCTAGATTAAAAGAAAAACAAACTCTCAAAGCCGAAAACTAAACCAGGTGTGTGATGCTCTGGTGTTTCCACACCCAGGCAAGCTGCTCTGTGAATAACAGCACGGCAACTGGATTGCTTTTCCAAAGTCAAGGTGCAAGAGGAGAATGTGCGGCATTGGAAAGGCAGAGTCACAAGGAGGAAAAAGGAGCCTCCAGGCAGGGGTAGGAAGGGAAAAGCAGCTGCCAAGCACCTGTCTAGGTAGAAAGTTCATTTTTCAGGAGCCAGTGTGTGTTGTCCACCCAGAACACTGTACTCACTTTATAAGTCGGGACATACGAGGACACGTTTGCCACCTGGAAGGTACATTTATATCACAATGTACCACCGGTTTGATCTGAAAAAAGAAGAAATAAGCCTCAGAATTGAGTTCAAATTAGCAAACACTTGTTAAATGCCGATTGCATGCATGGCACCACCCCCAAAACACAAGGCACGGGGTGCCCCATGTTCAGCAGAACGCCAGGGTTACGGAGCACCTCTTGAGATGCAGGGAAAGGTGGCTCAGCTGCTGGATCCCAGCAGGTGCCTGCTGGGGGCCTGGGTGCAGGAAAAGGAACCAGAAAGGCTGTGTGTGGTGCCAGGGCCACACCCAGGCCTGTCCCACGGACATAGGCTAACAGCCTCCTCCAGCCCAGGTGTCTGCCAGCAAACATGGGGCCCAGGAATGATCATGCAGCTCCTGATTTCAAACCAGGGTATTCGAGCCAAGATGTCCAGGCCAGTAGGTGGGAACCCCTCTCCAGTTTTCTGGCCTCCTCTGCCCTCTGCTGTGAGGTAAGAGCTGGAGCCAACTGCTGCACCCTGTCACAATGTCCTAGCCCTGGCCCACCGGGGACAAGACACCAAGTAGGAAAGGAGTTTCTGAGACCTGTCTCCAGCGGAGCAAAGTCACTCATTCTCATGTCCCATTGTTCCTGAGAGTGGAAAAGCTAATGGGGGCACTGTTGCTGGGAGCTGGTGTCACCACCCACCTGCCTGGCACTGTGGTCCAGGGCTCACATGCCAGGCTGCACTCACTAAGGACATCCCCAGCACATCAGTCCCGACCTTCCCTGGAAAAGCCACTCCCTTGTCTGTGTTCACTATGTCCCTGGCCCACTGGGCTGAAAAGCTTGGGGTCCTTGACCCTCCAGCCCTGTCCCTCAACAGCAGGGACCGTCTGCCCTGGTTCAGCCTCCTCTGCAGCCTGTGCCTCATCCTCCCCCCACACCCACTACAGGAAACGCCATGTTCTTTCAAGGGCTCCCCATCAGGGTCCCACTCGTCTGTCACCTCCCTGATGCCAACACCACTGTCTTCTCAGCAGTGACAGGCATTCCCCACCCCTACAGGACCAAGTCCAGGCCATGCCAGCCCTAACTGCCCCTCCAGCCCTGCCCACACCAGCTTAGAGGTGAGCTCGGCAGGGGCTCCTCACACCCATCCCCTCCCAGTCCTGCCCCAGCTTGGAGCCCACAAGAGAATGCCCAGTTGCTGGTGTCCAGCAGCTGTTGGACCCAGCCATAGGGTGCCAGGTGCCCCAGCACAAGGGAGGTTTCTCCAGACCCTGATCCTCAATCTCCACCACTCCTGGACCCAGCCAGGCCTCCCAGCTAGTACACAGACCACAGAGAGCCACTTAGCCTGATCCCGTCAGAGGACTTGATAGAATCACCCCAAGTGGAGTGAAGTCATTGACAGAGGGGCCTTCACGCCCAGCACCAGCCATGTGCACCTGGTCAGCTGAGGTGGAATAGCAGGTGAGGAAGCACTGGCATCACACGCCTGCTGCAGCCTGGGCAGGTGTCCTGGGTCTCCTGAAGGGGCGTGTCTCACAGGGCTCGGAGGGTGGGGAGAGATGAGGTGCAGCTGCAGCTAAGCCCACCTCCGTGCTGCTGTGACCTTCAATGCCCTTCATCAGAGGAAGAATGGCCCAGAGGTCTGAGGACAGCAGCAGATCTTGGAGGCAGCCTGGCAAGTGGAAAAACCACAGGCTTCAGGTGGGACAACCTGGGTCCAATTCTAGCTCTGCCTCTCACTACCTGTGAGCCTGTGGGGAATCCACTGCACCTCACTGGGCAGCAACTTGTTAATTTTGGGATGGAGAACACTTGCAGAATTTGTATGAGAAGTAAGATGGCATTTTATAAAAGGCACAATGCAATATCCATCACATAGTAATAAATATCCAGTACAATGAACACAAGAGTGCCCTCACACACACACAGACACAGAGAGAGGGAATCCACTTATGGCCCCACATAGAATTGTTCCCTCACATACAGTCAACTGACAGCCCCAGACTTCGCTATCTCAAAAGTCAGCACCACCCCAGACCCATTTGTTAACTATGCAATCTGGGTGACATCCTCAAGCGTCCCCACCTTCATCCCCCAAACCCAGCCATCAGCATGCCTACAGCTCTACCTCAAAGCCACACAGGGGCCGTTCCATGCTCACAGCAGCCAAGCCTCCACCATCTCCACCCAATCCATCCCTGCTACTCTTCCCTCACCCTGTGATAATCCTTTCCTCACAGACAGCAGAGTGGCCTTTGAAAGCAAAAATCAGACGCCCATTCTAACATGTGCCCTCACAGAGACCCACAGGCCACACCCTGGCTGCCACTCTGCCCTCCTTCCTCTTACCCTCTAAGGCCTCCCTGCACCCCACCTTGCATTCTTGAAGTTCTTTAAACACCAAGCTGTTCCCACACAGGATGGGAGCCTGGAGTGTCCTCCACATCTCTGCCTGGCTCTCTCCCTCTGGCATTAAGTTACTTAGATGTAAGCTGATTTTTTTTCATTACAGCCTAATGCGTTCTTGCAAATTTGTTTTCTTGCATACTCTTTGTAGAACACAAGCCTCCTGAAAGCAGGGATCTTGGTTGTCATGCTCAACAAAGTATTCCCAGTGTCTGAACGAGGTGTGGTCCCTCACAGAGGTTCAGAAACTCTATCATGGACGGAAATGAACAGCAGATGGGTGAATGCTGCCATGACAAGGGAAAAGCAGTCCTGGCACTCAGGAAAGGGCTCCAGAAAGAGAGAGGGGACTTTGAAGATTATGGAAATGGGCTCCTACATCCGTTTCCTACTCGTGGAAAGGGCCATGGGAATACCCACAGAGGGTAGTGGAAGCTGTGCAAAGAGGTGGGCAGAGCAGGGACTTTGGAGTCTGAGATAACAGCAAAACCACAACAGTGGCTGTTATCGCCTGAGCTCTTAACTCATCACAGGTGTTTGCTAAGCATTCGTGTTACTTGTGTGGGAGGCAATCACTTTATGGGCTGTGTACTGCTGTTAAGGGCATTGCAGCAGTACACCTATGTAAAATTATACACACCTGCATACTGTGGAGGACAATACCAGCGCCACAAATATCAACAACTAGCATGAATTCACAGACTTACTCTGAAAACAAAACAACAGAAATTACCTTCTGCAAAATTCTATCAAAGTACAGCCACCCTAAGACACAGATTTCTGCTTGATTGCATGGAATTATGGAAACAATGAGCTAATTGCTCTTTTGATGTGTTAACGATTCATTAATCCTGATATCACCTGCCTAATTAGATAACTCCAGCAGTTACGTACATGAGTCTGGATTATTTTCTCTGTATTCCATATAGTAATCTCCTAAGCAGTGTCAAGCACACTGGTCTGGTGGTGATGACAGCCTCATTCACACTTGTCTGAAGTCAAGACTCACACAACTTATCTGCCCTCACAGGCTGCAGGACTCAATGGGCTTCGGACCTCTCCAACCAAGTAACTAAACCGAATGTGCATAAGTGACAGAAAACACCCAAAACTGTCAGAGGCCCCAGCGTGGTGACTCATGCCTATAATCCTGGCACTCTGGGAACCCAAGGTGGGTGGATCACCTGAGTTCATGGGTTGGAGACCAGCCTGAGCAAGGCCAAGACCCCCATCTCTAAAAGTAGCCGGGTGTTGTGACTGGTGCCTATAGTCCACAGCTTCTTCAGAGGGTGAGGCAAGAGATAAGCTTGAGCCCAGGAGTTGAGGTTGCTGTGAGTTATGATGCCACGGCACTCTACCAAGGGTGACAAGTGAGACTCTGTCTCAAAATAAATAAATAAAATGCCATAAGCGTGCCTCCCCTAGCAGCAGCTGCAGTTCACAGAATACCCCTCTCTATCAAGCATAAAAGTAGACTTTTATGTGCATTCACACCTGATCCTGGAAATAACATAGACTCAGAGAGGTTACATAACACACAGCTATTAAGTACCCTGGTCATGACGAGCTGTCAGAAAGGATTTCATTGTACTTTGGAGCAAGATGAGTTCCAGGACCCACAGCAGTGTAGCACAGTCCCCCAGGAGCCCAGGCTTGCAGCCATCTCCAGCCCCAGCCCTGACTCTGCCACTTTCTGGCCGTGTAACCTTGATCAAGGGTTCTGACCTCCCATGGATGCAATGCCCTTAACAGCAGTACACACCCCATAAAGTGATTGCCTCCCACACAAGTAACATGAATGCTTAGCAAACACCTGTGATGAGTTAAGAGCTCAGGTGATAACAGCCACTGTTGTGGTTTTGCTGTTATCTCGGACTCCAAAGTCCCTGCTCTGCCCACCTCTTTGCACAGCTTCCACTACCCTCTGTGGGTATTCCCATGGCCCTTTCCATGAAAAATATTAAGTGAAAAGACTCCAGAGAATCTGCAGCCAGAATAGACTAAACCACATAGCACTCAGAGAGGATCCCAAAATAAGCAAAGCAGCACCAGGCAGGGGGACTGAGGCAGACAGCTCTGCTGGCAGCTCAGCAGTCAGCGCTCCGCCGGGTGTGGAAGCAGACAAGTGTCAAAGGAGGCGCAGCTCGGCCACAGGCCAGGAAACCTTACAGGAAGTGCAGTGGTCTCTACATCCCTTGTCTTACTCATAAAGAAGAAAAGTTACTAGTAGGTCACCCCAAGGTAACTTCAAATTCTCGTGCTTTGATACTGTGAGTTAAGAAACAGTCAGCAAAGATAGGGCCTGAACCCTAGGGAGGGGTGTGGAGCAGAAGCGAGTCCCAGAGAGAAAGGAAGAGAGTGGGGCAGGGAGAAGACCCCCACACACACACGGAGACACACAGCAAGAATAAAACTGGAGCAGGACCAGGGGATCAGAAAACACAAATACAGAAGAACACTGACAAAACCAAGTTTATTCTTTGAAAATATCAATACCATTGATAAAGGCAGAGCCAGGCAGATGGGGGTGGGGGGGCACAAATGACCGATACCAAGAATGAGAGTGCCAACAGCACTTCAGATTCTGCAGATGTTAGGAGAGTAAGAGACCATCACACACAACTCCCTGCCAGTAGTGTCAACAACGCAG